CCCCAGCCTTGATTGTGCCCTGAGCAGCAGCACTTTTAGCCCAGCCTGAACATTCAGGCCATTGTCCCTTCTTCTCCTTTCTCCCTGCAGTTGTTTCTCAGTCCTCCTGGGGCACTCAGGTGGATTTCCTGCAGGGAAATGTCTCTGGAATGCTCATCCCTCCTCACCCCCTCAGCTAATTGGACGTGCTAAAGACACTGAAATAATTAGCCAGCTGAGCTGTTAGTGTGGGAGTTGCATTTTGTTCCACCTGCTGCAGGCTGAGCACAAAGGAGGGAGGTGTCTGCAGTGCCCAGCAAGCTCAGTCCTGGTCCCAACATGGGAAAGCCAAGGGGAAAAGGAAGGAGGAGAGGGCTCAGTGTGGCTCTGGTGAAGTGAGACATGGTGGCAGCACAGGGGGGCACCTTGGCAGCAGGTTTGGGAGGGTTGGGCACCAGGCTCAGCCACGTGGGGAATGAGTTGAAGGAGGAAGGAGCATCCTCAGCCAAGAAGGAGACCAGGGGTGAATGTCTGAAGAGCATGAGCCTGGGGTGACACCAGTGCCACGTGGAGCCACAAGTGCCTCAGGTGGGGACACCCTGGGAGTTTGGAGGGTCTGGCCAGGCCACTTCTCTTCCCAACCCCAGCTCTGAAGCTCTGGGCTGTCACTTATTGCCCCAAATCACTGCCAGGCCAGGCACGAAGCCCCCAGCAGATATTTGGTCTCTTTGCTGATCAGGAGAACAAAGAGAAGTTTCTCCAACCTCGTCTTCCCTGCAGCTCATGATGCCAAGTAAAAATCCCTTCTTTCTCTGACAGCCACCCAGAAACAGTAAACATTTACTGAGCAATTAAAAGAAGATTTGATCCAATGTCACTGCAATAATTCTAATACCCTTTATTGCTGGAACAATGCACCTATTTAATTATGCTCTGCTAGACTAGTACTAATTACACACACAGAGCTGCTTCCAGACTCAGTCAAGCAGGATTTTCCCCTCTTCCTCCACAAAAAAACCCCTCCCAGGAAGGATGAGGAAGAGTAATAGTTGGCCCTGCAGGAGAGTAAGGAATCCTTGCACATCCCCAGCCCTCAGCTCCCACCTGCAGCTTTTGCTTCTCACCTTTTCTCAGCACTCGGGTCCTTCTTGGTGCCTTTAATGAAGTCGTTCTTGCCCTTCAGGTGCCGTTCGTACTCTGCAGGTGTCATGTCACCTCCCTCCATTAAGCCATGAGGCACGTGGGGCTCTGGGAAAGCAGAGAAATGGGTAAAAAAACCAACGGCCTTGGCTAAACTTTGGGTTTGCAAGAGATGCAGGATGTGAGGGCAGAGCTTTGAGCACCACGGGTGACAATCGAGAGGGACTGGGGTTTCTCCAGCTTAACCCGAACTGTCTTGGCACCATCAGAGCTAATCCAACCCTTTCCAGCCCCACAGAGGAAGGTCCCAGGAAGAGGTAGAGAAGAAGCAGAGCCCACCTACCACTGAGGTGGATCAGGATCTCCACGGGCCTGTCAAAGGTGTGTTTGTTGGCCAGGCTGATGATGATGCTCTTGGCAGAGCGAGCGGAGGGGTCGGCGTCTGCTCGGATCCCGTGCGTGGGGCTCTCGACTCCTGCCCAGGGAAACCCAGGACCAGTTAGAGGCTGAGGGGGTGGGAGACCCCAGAAGAGAGGGAAGATGGCAGAGGAACCATCGTCCCCCAAGGGAACATCAGCATGGCACCAGTAAATCCACCCCAGCACAGTCCAGTGCCCAAAACAGACTCTGCATCAAGGGGGTGGAGGAGGAAGAGTCTGGACGTGGCCTTGAGGTCATAGAGACATGGAAACATTTTGGTTGGAAAAGACCTTTAAGATCATCCAGTCCGACCATTCCCCCAGCCCTGCCCAGTCCCACTGCCCCATGTCCCTCAGCACCATCTCCAGGGCTTGGAAACCCCTCCAGGGATGGGGACTCCCCCCTTGCCAGGAAGAAATTGTTCCCAATATCCCATCTAAACCTTCCCAGCACAACTTGAGGCCATTTCCTCTTGTTCTTTGGCAGAAGAGCCCGACCCCCCTGGCTCCAACCTCCTCTCAGCAGCTGCAGAGCCAGCAGGTCTCCCCTCAGCTCCTTGTCTCCAGGCTGGACACCCCCAGCTCCCTCAGCTGCTCCTGCTCACACTTGTGCTCCAGCCCCTTCCCCAGCTCCCTTGCCCTTCCCTGGACACGCTCCAGCCCCTCCATGTCCTTCTTGTCCTGAGGGGCCCAGAACTGACCCCAGGGTTTGAGGTGCCCCCTGCCCAGTGCCCAGCACAGGGGGGCAATCCCTGCCCTGTTCCTGCTGCCCACCCCAGGAGCAGGGCAGCCCCAGAGCTCCCACCTGCCAGCAGGCATGGCCCCCAGATCTCCAGGTGGAAGCTGAACTCATACTCAAAGGGGTTGGTGGCCTCTCTCTCCAGCAGATGAGCCAGGCAGAACCTGCTCCCTTGCTCCAGACTCCCCTATCCACAGCAGTGCTTGTCCCTGCTGGTGGGAGGAACCCCCATCAAGGCTCTGCACGTGTTGCATCCCCCCCAGGAGCTGCAGATCTGCTGGAGGCAGAGCCTGCAGAAGCTCTCCAGCCTCCCACACCAACCACGTCTGCTCTGCTGGTCCTGCAGCCCCCCCCAACCCCAACCAGTCCCAGTGGCTTTTCATACGTTGGGAGCTGGTGGCTGGAAGGGCTGGTGACATTTTCCAGGCTGGGCTGGGGGACCCTGGGGACACACACAGGTGGCAGAAGGACCCTGACGGCCCCGCTGGGCAGTGTCTGCAGCTCAGAGGAGGTGCTGATGAAGATGGAGACGCTTTCCAGGGGAGGAATGATGCCCAGGTTTGCCACAAAAAACTGTCCTCTCCGAGTCCTCATCCATGGTGATCCTTCCTGCAGGGAGAGGGGACCACGCCAGGGAGATGTGGTGTCACAGCCATGGGAAATGCAGCTCCCCAGCCCTCACTGCACACACCAGCATTGCTCTGGAGACCCCAGCCCACGGCCTCACCCCTCTTTGGGGCATCAGGGAGAAGCAGTGCTCTCCAGAAGGGGTGAGATGACTCCCCTGGCAGGGCCAGGAGCACAACCCAAGGCTCAGCCCTTCACAGGAGCCTCCTTGATACCACCACGTACAGCAGCCGCCCACCCCCTGCCACCTCCCCATCCTTCTTCTTCCCCTGGTTTCCTTCCCCAGGAGCACTAAGATCAGCCCTGGGCCCCCTCACCACCTCCATCCCGAGCTCTTCCAGCAGGGAGGCTGCAGCCATGGGGATCCATGTCCTCTATCTTGGCTTTGTCCTTGATTTGCACCGTGACAGCGCGTCGGGCCACGGCCGCCTCGAACCCCACCACGGTGCTGCCCTCATCCAGGGGGTAGGCAAAGAGACCTGCTGGACAGAGGGGTCTTAGCAACACTTGCCTGGACCCACCAGAGGGATCAGCTCCCTCTTGGTGCTCCCATGTGTCCTCCCGGGACATTTCACACCTCAAAAATGGTGTCTCTGGGTCACAGAGGAGACAAGGACACAATATAATCATGGAATCCCAGACTGGTTGGGTTGGGAGGGACCTTCAAGATCATCCAGTCCCAACCCCCTGCATGGGCAGGGACACCTCCCAGCAGCCCAGGTTGCTCCAAGCCCCATCCAACCTGCCCTTCAACACTGCCAGGGATGGGGCAGCCACAGCTTCCCTGGGCACCCTGGGCCAGGCTCTCACCACCCTCACGGTGAAGAATTCCCCCCTCATGTCCAACCTCAACCTCCCCTCTCCTATTTAATTCCATCCCCTTGCCCTACTGCTCCCCTGCCCTTCTAAGACATCCCTCAGCCACCCTTCCAGCCAGCTCTGTGGGACACCCCTGGCCCTACAGCTCCTGTGGCCCCTTCACCCCCCAGCACTTGCCTTGCAGGGGCAGTGCCCGTGGGTTGCAGTAGGTGAGCAGGGCTGTCATCCCCAGGGCATAGCTGCTGACACAGGACGTCACCTCCGAGGCTGTGAGGGGCAGTGGGGACAGGGTGGCCTGGTCCAGCAGCCCTGGCATCTTCCCGGGGCTCTGCTGGGGATGGGGGGTTCAGCCACAGCCAGCTGGGGAGGGGTGGGAAGGGCCAGCACCCAAAAAACATCTGCTTGAGCACCCAAAACATCTGCTTGGGCACCCAAAACATCTGCTTGA